TAGTAAAATTAGTGCCATAAGTTTTATTATCATTATCATTGTAATCATCAAGGTTATTAGCGTTATCATTGATATTTTATCATCATTATTATTTTCACTTACATTATTTTGATATAATCATTATCTTCATTATCAGTATTATTATGGTTATTATTATCATTATTATTAGCATTGTCAATATTATCATCATTATCATTATTATCATTATCATTATTATCCTTACTTTTATATTGTGTGTGTGTCATCATTATCATTATCATTATTATTATCATTATCATTATCATTATCATTATCATCATGATTATCATTGTCATTATTGTTATCTTTCTTACTATTTTTTGGATATCATGATCATTATCATTATCATTATTTCTTCTAGGATTTTTATTACTTTTATTATCATTATCACTATCACTATTATTATAATTAGCATTATCATCACTTTCACTGTTATCCTTATTGCTATTGTCATTATTGTCATTAACATCATTATCACTATTATTAAAACTATTATCAATATTATTTTTATTATTATTATTATTATATTATTATTATTATTATTGTTGTTGTTGTTGTTGTTGTTGTTGTTGTTGTTGTTGTTATTATTATTATCATTATTAATATTATTATTATCATTATCATTATTTTAATTATCATTATCATTACCATCATTATCGTTATTATTATCATGCTTGTTATAATCATCATTGTAATTATTATTATTATTATCATATTCAATATTGTTATTATCATCATCATTATCATTTTTATTTATATTTATTATCATCATTATCATTTTTATTACTTCTATTATTATTATTATCATTGTTACTGTTATCATTATTATTATCATCATTATTATCATTATTACTATTATTATTACTATTCTTATCATTATTATCATTTTCATTATTATTATAATTACCATTGCCATCGTTACCATCATCATCATCATTATTGCTATTATTATAATTTTATCAATATTACGATTATCATTAACATCATTATCATCATCATTGCAACTATTATTATTATCATTATCATTATTACAGATATTATTATTATTACTATTATTATCATTATTATTATTATTATTATCGTTATTATAATTGTTATTTCACTGATATTACTATTATCATTAATTTATGGATAGGATATTTTTATCATTATCATCATTATAATCATTATTATTGTTGTTGTTATTATCATTATTATTGTTATTTATGTTGTTGTTGTTGTTATTATTATTATTATTATTATTATTATTATTATTATTATTATTATTATTATTATTATTATTACGATTATTATTATGATTATCATTATCATATTATTTTTATCATTATCATGATTACTACGATCATCATCGTCATCATTAATATTATTATTATTTTCCTTATTTCTCTGATATTATAATCATTATCACCATTATTACTATTAGTATTACCATCATCACTGTTATCATTATTATCATTATTATTTTCATCAACACCATTACTGTTATTATCATCAATACTATTATCATTATCATAACTATTATCATTATCATTATTATCATTAGAATCAATATCATCATTATTATCATTATTGTTAATATAACCATTATTATCATCGTTATTACCATCATTATCATTATTTTTTTATATAATCATTATTGTTATAATTATTATTACCATCATTATTATTATTACTATTACTATTATCATTGGCATCGTTATACTTTCATCATTTTTGTTTTGATTATCATTATTATCATTACTGTTGTCAATATCATTAGTTTCTATTATCATTAGTATGATAACATTATTTACCATTATTATCATTATCATTATTATTATAATCAGAGCTTGAAATTATAAATCGTTTATTCACCTCATTTCTGCCTCGGGAAGCGATCAGAGCGCTGGAGCAAAGGCATCGATGGCGACACCGCATGTCCATCAGAAATGGCCAGTGGGGTACGATTTTCTTAAAAGAAAGCGAGCGAGAAAAACGTCTCCTGCTGGATCTTCGGAGACAAAAGCGTTTTCACATTTCCTTGAAGTCTGACGTCGTCTTTCTCGTATCATTTCAGAAGAAACTCGCTTATCGTTGTATGTAAATGTATCTCCGTTTTTTGTTTACATCATTTACAAAAGCGGTCGGAATATAAGATGTAAATCGCCCGCTTTTAGGCATTGTATTGTATCTTGAACCATAAAATCTGTATATAACGTTTACTGAAATAAGAATGGGCATGTTTTATGCATTCATCTTTTTTTGCTGATGTCATTATGTTCCTGTATGACATTATTGACAAGCACTGTCTCGTAACTATCACGTTCTCATTCGTCACTGAATATAGATATGCAGTATTATGTGAGAGTTTTTCGGTGTTTCTCTCCCTTTCTGTTTTTGTTTTTCTAAATGTTATCAATTTTAATTCAGGTCTTCTCATTTTCTCCTTATTCATTCACTATTGTTCGACTTCCACCTTATAATTGTTTTGTGTTATGTTACC